ATGAATCTATTCATGAGTTAAAACTCATGGAACTATACATGAAAACTCAATTTTATCATATCACAATGTGTGAAATAAAATATTCTTTAAAAAGAATGCAAATGTGATCAAGGAACCACCATCATTTATATTTAAGATCCTACAAAAGAAAAGAAATAGCAGAATGCTGGAAGTATTCAAATCTTACCTTTTTTCATTATGCACATAGAGAACATTAATAAAATTTTATGACAGTGACTTTCGAAAAATGCTAATGTAGCTTTAAGTTACAATAATAGAGGTATACATTTTCGCACAGGAGAGGTGGTATTCCTCAGTATATGAGAGGACTTCAAAAAGCTCATGGAAAACAGAATTAAAAGGTAATAGCAATCTTTTCATGAACTTTTTGAAGACCCCTCAATCTGCATGATCAGCTGTCTTCTAAAGAATTTGCTTAGTTCTGGAACACACATTTTATGGGATATTAACAGACCAGTAAGTAATATAGAATGTTTGGCTTGCAAAAGAAAAAAAATGTGAGGAAGNTAAATGTAAAAGTAAGATTGAATTCAAGTGCGGCTCCATAGAATAAATTTTATTTCATCACGTGGAACAAATAGTGCCATTCAACAATACAATGTGCAGTGTGTATTTTGTTTATTTATCATTAGAAATGATGAAGTAAAAACTGGTTGATTACCTATTAGGAATTATTGAGAGAATTTCTACTTTAAGCAAGAGGTTAGACTAGGAACCCTCTAAAGGTTTCTTTCCTTCTAAGATTCCTTGAGCCTGAAAATGTTTTCTAATTTTGCCTTTAAATCCAATAAAGCTAAGTTAATATCCATTTGAAGTTAAGTATTCTTATAACTGATATTTTAGGTAGAAATTAACCTGCCTGTCTTTCCCGCTGTCAACTAATTATGTATGTCTTTTTAATTTGTTTTCTCCAAATAGGGTACTGTAAAACAAGCTTACACGAATGCTCCAGTGGTAGACAATGAATTATTACGATTGAGCCTTCGGTTATTTAAGCGGAAGACTACTTGCCATGTTCCAGGACATGAAAAGACTGAAGATAATAAACTTGCACAGTCCAGTATCCAACAGGAACTGTGTGTGTCTTAAAACTGAAGTTCAGTATGACATTTTTGGTACTGTCTTCCTTCAGCAGCAGTACATATTCCTTTTCAAAGTTCTATGATTTGACAGGCATTATTAGTGACAAAGACAGAAAAGATTTATCAGCCATGCTAAAAGAGTGAAGAAGAACTTTGATCTTTAGAGACATTAGATTTGGCTAACTTCATATTTCACATTAGTTTTTACACAGTACTTGATACTCATGCAGAATAATGTGAAAGCATCTAGATTTAGTAGTTTATTCTGTACCTTTTGTTAAAACTGAAGATTTTGGAAAACTGTTGTCAGTGCTCTTCCAGCCTATGGATATTTTTTATGAAACAGAGCCACTGATTTATGTTCTGGATGACCTGTACAGAAACTACAATTTTATTCAGAAACAGTGCATTTGTCAAAGTAATTGCACACATTGTGCACCACCATGTTGTACAGAACATTTGAAAGGGAATGCTAGTCTAGCATGGTATGTTCGTACGCAGATCTCCAGCAGGATGGAGCCAACATATTTTTTTTTTT